TTTTGAGAAAGTTATGATTTTTTTTCGAAATTCCGAAAAAGGGGGCCTGTGGGGTTAATTCTTGCCCGACAAAATATTGTGAGATATACAGATTATTAAGTATTACCAGAGGAACACATTCATAGGAAAAAACTCCCATCCACGTGTATTTTGGAAAAGTTATGATTTTTTTTCGAAATTCCGAAAAAAGGGGGCCTGTGGGGTTTATTTCTTGCCAGACAAAATATTATGAGGTATACATATTATTGAGTACCATCAGAGGAACACATTCATAGAAAAGAACTCCCATCCACGTGTATTTTGAAAAAGTTATGATTTTTTTTCGAAATTACGAAAAAGGGGGCCTGTGGGGTTAATTCTTGCCCGACAAAATATTGTGAGATATACATATTATTAAGTATTACCAGAGGAACACGTTCATAGGAAAAAACTCCCATCTACGTGTATTTTGAAAAAGTTATGATTTTTTTTAGAAATTCCGAAAAAGGGGGCCTGTGGGGTTAATTCTTGCCCGACAAAATATTGTGAGATATACAAATTATCATAGACCCTCAGAGAAATTCATTGATGTAAAATAGTTTCATCCATGGACATATTTTGGAGGTTTAAGTAATTTCATGGCCAGCTATGAATATAAATTGATAATGAACAACCATTGGTGGTATGGCGCGCGCCTTGAATATTAGGCGAAGTCGTGGCTGGAACTCGTGGCTGGTTTCACACTGTAGGTGTATATCAAATTTTTTTAACCACTAGCAATACATTTCAATCATTTTAGTTCGGTGAAACTGAAATATGAACCTATTATCACTATGAAAGCACATCTTTTCAATTCCAATTTAAATATAGTAGCCATTACCATGACAGCATATGATAAGTCGTTATTGATAAATACCTACTAGATTCGAGTGCCATTAATGCGAATCTTGCATCAGAACAGTGAATTCGGGTTAATTATTATAACAGAGGTGGCTATTTCTTTATTGACTAGTGGTTAATAATAACTACCTTGGTAGTAAATACACACTCTAAGCATCGAAAAGGAGCAAATAATGGTAGGTTTTATAGCGAGTGGTGAAATAAATTATATTCATACCTGTCAGTCATTTTTTTATGAATCCGTTCCCTTATAAATCGTGTCTATTTGCTAGAAAAGTTGCGTTTTATATAACCAGCTGTGAAATTATATGACCTTGATGTGCTACCAAGAATCTGAATGATGTGCTTACAAATCGAGTTACAAATTATAAACTAGAAGTGATTTTTTGATTTTTGTGTCGGTAAAGCGAAGTTTATTACAGACAAGTCCTTAAATTGTGCTCATAGGAAGAAATAATGAAAGTGAATAGGAGTTTCACGGTTAGGAAGGCTCTCTTGTCCAGACCTTAAGTAATATGAAATTGATGTATTTTTGATACGTTATTATTGTTGACAATTATTCTGATGAAAGAGGTTAGACACAAAATAAATCAAGGCATGATTGTTTTTCTCATTATCTTACAAATACAAAGATAAATGCATGCTGCATTAAATTCTGATCACAAGTAGGTATAATCAACACTGATCCCCTACAGGCAACCCAGGTATTTGTTATCAAATAAATTATATTGAATAAGTAAATTATTCAAAAGTCTGATTTGTGTTCTGTTAGGTTCACTTGGCAACTTCGCATGTAATTTGTCTCTCAGTGTATTTACGCTACGACTGTTACGAGACGACTATGGGTGGTTGTGGTGTATATAGAGTCGACCAATAAACATTTTCTCAGCAGAATTTTATCTATTATCTCCTAATTCTCGAAGCCTTATGAGACAATTTGGAGAACAGATATAGGTACAGTTGGAAAACTTGTATTTGAAAAAAAAATACTATTTTTACGCGGGCAATAACTTTAGTTGTTTCAAGTAGGTATACTTTTTGAATACAGGCAATTATAAAATTGCATGTTCCATTATAACTCTGACTTATATTCCTTCAGTGCATTAATGATCTAGGTTCCATGACAGCTCTTATACCATTTTATTGTAGTTAGTAGTTATCTTCTATGCTTCCTAAAACACCAAGATTATTGTACTCTAGTTCTTGTTACTTTCAAACCTAAATTACCTATACCCTGTATTTTATATGATGTTACTTTTGTAGGCTTCCTCTCTGGCTCGTACTGAATCGAATTATTCACCCTGTGGGTTGTCAGGAAGTACTGAAAATGCTAAAATCCGCTTCTTTTCAAATGTAGATCCTCAGCTATCTCTAAATCCTAATTGAAATACCAGTCTAATCAGACGCTTTTGAGCCCATGAGATGATGTATGGAATGTGGCTATACGCAAAAGCATAGTACAAGTTTACAAGATCTTTCTCATCCAAATATGGTTTTATTTGCAATATTGCATAGTATGCTTGGCACTAAAAGAAAGTTGTGAGTCGATGGAAGTTCCTAACAATTTCACATTTTTGTTGAAAGACAATTCTTGAGGTAACTGGAAGTTTGAAGGCACCACACGGCGCAGATAAAAATTGATACATTCTGTTTTTCCTTTGTTCAATATGAGTCTTTTCCGCTGACACCAAGACGTCATCTCATTATAGGTAACTTTAATGTTTTCATGTAACTCCTCTAGGGTCACTGCTGATACAGTTATGGTAGAATCATCCCACTTCTGACACCAATTGTTACGTTATTCGGGTGCAGAAGCGAACACGACACTATTTATTTTCGAACTGATTTATTTGAACTAAAGAAACACTAATTTATATCGAACTTATAACTACTATTTATGTAAACGATTTATATCACGCGGTATATGACTGTCTCTCTGACACTCGTTGCTTGACTGACTGACTGCAGATGTTTGGCCGTCCATATATATGAGATCCCTTGGTAGGCTTTGATTCGAGAACGTTCTCGAATGATCTTCCGTACCCTTCTTTCTGTTCTAGAAGCTTCTTGGAACAATAACTCTCTCTAATTGTTCCATCGATTGTTTCCAGAACATTCCAGAATCTTCTGTCACGTTATTTGTCACTTCGGCATATATTGAGTGTTCGGAAATATGCTGGTGAATGTAGGAATCGTTGGGAGGTTGGAGAACAATCCCTCTAAGGGATATATCATTACACTAGTGATTTGACCTAAGCTGATATTTCTTGGTAGGTCATTTGCAAAAATGAGAGGGCCCAATACTGATCCCTGGGGAACAACAAGGGGAACCTCGTGACTTTCTGACAGGACATTTTCGATTTTAACCAATAATTTTCTATTTGTTAAATAGCAGTGAATCCAATCCAACATGACTCCTCTAGTCCCAATGGTGCAAAGTGTTTTAAGAATAAGTTCAACGTGTATACTGTCGAATGCTTCAGACAAAACAAAGTATGGATATTTTGAATTTGCAGAACCTACTTGAACTTATCGATTTTCAACAATTGATATCACTTAATAGAGAGAAACCTTGATTACTGAATACTGGTTATAATTTTGAACATTTGTTATGCAGTTTATTTTTTCAAATTACTGTTCTTGTTGTCGAAGTTCAGCTATCAAGGTAATTATTTTAAGAATACATTAACATGAAACAATATTTAAAGCGCTGCATTGAAATGGAGTGAAATATATTTTTTTAACTTTTCTTTATTGAATAACTACATCAATGTTCAACAACGAATGATCAGAAATAAGTGGAACTGATGAAATTTCCTCTTTGGAATTCTAAACAGACATTGATGATGGCTGAAACTAGGTCGAAACACGTTCAAACCACCTTGTGTAATACATAATCAGGATCATATTTGAAAAATTGGTTTGGTGATTTGTCTCAATGACGTGTTCCTCATCATGTAATCTTAACATTTCACAATGAATATATTGTTTACCTGTAATAATTCTAGCTACAATAATTTCTCATTGTTCAATATTAGTTAGGTCATACAGTTTATTACTTTCATTTGGTTTGTATCACTCGTTTTACCTATTCTCTGCTTTTGGCTGTTGTCAAATGGCCACACTAGTGATGATGAAACTCTTGTTGAGTGAATTTTGATTAATAATTTCAAATTTCAATGTCCTGCTCTTACCAATGTTGAATTGCATTATTGATTTGTCCTTTTGGCCTATTAGTCTATTTAAAGAACAATATACTTAATTACCTGCCTGATTTTCCGGTTTTTGACCTACTTTTTAATTAAACTTATCTCCACATGTCTTCTTAGGTAACTTTTTCCCTCAATAGTTCATTGTGTATTTGTAATTCCATAATCTTTACAGGTATTTTATGTGACTGAAGATGGCCGTTGAGCCGAAACTAGTCACAAACTTGATTTGTTAATATTTTTGTTGTCGACCGACTTTGTGTTATACGGTTTTTTCCTTTTCGCTGTATTATTATGATCACATCAACCATCATTATATCTTCTTTCAGTCTTTAAAGAGTTTTTGTCTGGCATTCTATTTATTTTTTTGTGTTTTTCCATGTCTTTGAGCGCATTCCTATAATGTTCGAAGAACATCGTGTGTAATATTTGACAGCTCTTTGTCAGTCAAGATAATTTTCAAAGTAACTGATCGTTGTGGAACTTTAGAATTATCGAATTTTGGTTGACCTAGAAACATATTCCTGTAGAACTTACAACGATGAAACTTCGAAGACAAGTTCGGTTATATCAACTCCTTAGAAAAAGCAAAAATATAAAAATTTGCCATCGAATAACTAACACCCTATACGAGGTATTGCGTTCAATTTTTTTGGGGGTGTATTTCAGCTATAGTTGAATCGAATAAGCTACCCACATTTTATGAAATAATTGCCTAATTGTCGTTTTTGAAATTTTGAATTTGTAAACAACAATAGTAGACGTTTTCGAAGCGAGCTCTCGAGTACTATATTATCGAAAGTTTGTTTTTGAGAATCTGTCGCACACACTGTATAGACATTTAGAAAATATGCTCCCAACATTCAGCGTTTCAACTGACCTTATTTATACTGATTCATACAAATTTTGTAGATGCTCTGATGGTGTGCAACATTTTAAAGTTTTACGTGATGCGTCAGGAAAGTTTTTCTTGTGGGTGGTCAAGTTCAATTCCTTGAACGAACTCGTCGAATATCACAGGACTGCTTCCGTTTCACGATCTCAGGATGTGAAGTTGAGAGACATGGTTGCTGAAGAGGTAAGCTACAAGCATTATAAGATATTATTATTAAAAATAAACAATAAACTCTCGTAGAAGTCCATGTTCACTACTTTATTGAATTAATCAATCAAGGGGACATGTTTCGAACTTATAAAAGTCCATCTTCAGCCGTATTAAGAAGTTACTACAAGCAAATGCATGCGAAAATATACATATTATAAGAACCAAAAGTAGACTTACATGGAGGTGAAACAGTATTTTTTAAAATAGATGCTGATTTCTATCATCATGATATCGTGGTTGTATTGGTAAAAAGGGGGTTGAGAATAAACGGGTTTTCATTACAAATGAAGAGCCCCGTGCCCTAAGAACGCGCACTTATAAAAACCAAATGTCAAGTCCCAGAAGAGAAAACTTGACGAGCACTCAATGGTGCTCATAAAAACCATATTAGGTTGCAAACAGGCAAAACAAAGGGTACCGTACCTTTCTCAAGGGTATGGACCCCATGTAAGTCAACTTTTGGTTTTTATAATATGTATTTTCGCATGACTTTGCTTGTAGTAACTTCTTAATACGAGTGAAGATGGACTTTTGGAAGTCCGAAACATGTCCCCTTGATTGATTTACATCAGTAAAGATGTTGTGAAGATGACTTTGAGCGTTTCTTCTTCCTTTTGATAAACAATTAACATGTAGCAGTCAGTTGGACATGTGTTGCGGTCAATTAAAACCATCTCCTTCAGAAGCACATCAGATACTTTCAGCATCAATCACATCAAATATTTTGGCCGATATACCGCTGTAACGGAGGCACCTTCATCTGTGTAATGCAAAACTCACTACAGATGAAAACGATTACTGATTACGCGATTTGTCATGATGCTAATTAGTGATGAGCATCGACTGAAAAAATACGTTTGTTCAGAGATTGATACGCTTATATCAGTTCGACGTTAGCATCAATGAAATTAAATCCAAGTACCATCTAAAAAGTGTCGAAATTCATCATCAGACAACTGCATTTCTTGTTAGTTTGTTTGACAACTCTCAACTCCCAGGTTACTACTTCTATGTATTATCAAAACATTTGAAATGAAATAGATACGGTGAATGGCGTTGTGCTTCCTTCAGTGGGATAAGAAACATGAATTAATAAAACATTATTGTGATCTCCACTTCAGTGTCAGTGTACAACTATTGAGTCATTCATGTATTACTCGACTTTCAACAGTGATTGATAATCATTGTTGTTGTCACATAAGTACAATACTACTCTTTTGTACTACACCCAAATGCAAACAATGTACATTACAAAAGGTGGATATATGCACAACGCTTTTTCATTAATCTGTTGCTTTCATTAACTGTCATTAAGTTTATTTTTGATGATATATATGATACCTTTATGCACCACCTCTTCTTCTTGGTCAAAACATAGTCCTCAGCGTACATAGCCCGATGAAAATATTTGTGTTATAACATTCAGTGATCACATAATTACAATAAGAATCATTCATTCATATTGTTCTTAAACTCTAATTTGAACATACGGCTAGAATTTTCAAAATTTTCAACAACATTTTGGAAAAAGAAGTAATTGTTTGTCTGACTTCTGATATAATCGCGCCTGCGCAAGTCACAGTTTTATTACTATTTGTCGTTATGATATAAAAGTTGGTCATCTTTTAGCGAATAGTTAATGAAAAAAAATTCAATTCAGGTGCATAAGTGAATGAACGGGAAAACCAAGTTTTAACTTATTAGTGAAATCGTTAATGAATGTGAAATAACAGATTAATGAAAAGCGGTGTGCATAAATCCGCCTTTAGTCCTCACAGTTTCAAACGCCTTCGTACCAATACATACGAAGATGATGATCAATTGTTTTTCCTTCTCATATGTGAGTGACCGAAACAAAAAAGAATCGACATTGAAAATTTGCAGTTTGCTTTGCCCACATGTACATATGAACGATTCAAATAGAGTACAGACCAACCATAATGATCGAGTGATATGACGCATACGTACTATCTCTCCATATTATTCCTTTCGCCAAATTAAGAAATGGTTTATTTTTCAGTATTTGGTGCAAGCATTGTATGATTTCACCCCACAAGAAGTAGGTGAACTAGAGTTCAAAAGGGGGGACGTTATAACAGTAACTGACCGCTCCGATCAACACTGGTGGCATGGTGAAATTGGACATCGCAAAGGTCTCTTTCCTGCCACCTACGTCACGCCTTATCATTCGTAATTAAAAAAAAGGAAACTACCCCCCATTTATTGACGGCATTAAGTGTTTTTATCAGATTTTGGCCCGGAAGAGTTACCCTGAAAAAAAAAAGATGTGTGATTTTTGTTTTGAACTGATTAATTGGTGCAAAGAGAACTAATGTTGGGAATGATGTTCTTAACATTGTGTCTGAGATTAAAACTAGTTTTGTTAATCGAAAGTTTTTGTGAAATAATATATATTTATTAAAGAGCTTATTTTTAGATTCCATATACCCAAGCAAAAATGCAATTGACTTTTTCATAATTTCTTTGAATGTATCATCAGCTGAATATCATTGCATAGCACAAAAAATTTACTGAGGTAATCCAAAATTTCAACAAATTCTCTAGTATTGTGATGTTTTTATCGTGATTCTTTACCTAATGGATTCAACAAAAATTTTCAGTGACGATTATAACTAACACTTCTCCCGGGTAAAAAAATTCAAGGCAACAAGCGATGAGCGTTCCCGTACACTATGCAAACAAAAACAACAAAAAAGTTCTTAATTCATCTAATCATGATAGTTATAATATACCAAGGTTTAGAAAATATTGTTCTAAGCCGAGCTGTATCAGTTCCAGCAATGCTTCAGCATCAAAGGAATTAAGTAAGCCAGGCGATAATTGCGTGATTCATATGTATACATATACGTTTTTCTACTACTAGCTCCAGAATACACCATTATCGCTCATTTTTCAATCTGAGAAATCAATGTTTGTTACTAGTACTTACTCAAACCAAAATACCTTATCTGAAATGCTTTAAATGTGATTTCTACCTGAAAATGACATTCATAAATATGACAACTTAGCCGCTTCCAATTACGACATTAACTAATTTACAAAAAAGTGAAGATTATAGGTAACAAAAGCAGAAATAAGTGTAATAAATGGAAAAATAATATATAAACCAAGTTACGGACAACTATTCTCACCTTGTTTGCTTATTTCTCTCGATGATGTAACATCTCAGGAACCAATTCAGCTCAGATTTGGAAAGATGTCTTCTGTTCCTTGATATCTAAACACTATTTTCGACAACTATCACATATCCATTTATAATCAACAGTTTTTTCAATAACCGATCTGTTAGTGCGTCAAAAGTAGCTGTCAGATGAGTGACATTTCAAATAAGAATCAGATTTAGAGAGGATAAATGATGTCAATTGTTTCATTTGCACTAGTAGGTGCCAAAATGTTATGATTGGTCTCTCAGGTCAAGAATATATCAAATAATGATGAGTTCTGGAGCTCCTATTATATATAAAAACATTACTCAAATCATATACTACATCAGATAAACTACAAGACGGTTCACTCGTTGATTTTTCGACTTCTGAGATATCTCGCCGCAACCTAGTCGACCGCTGAATTTTGCCGGCTAAATAGGCGATTCCTATAGACGATTTGGGCAATGGCGGTAAATTCATATGTGATATTGGCGGTAAATTCATATGTGATATTGGCGGTAAATTCTAATAACGAACGTTTTCCCATCATGAGAAACAATGTATTTGTGACGTGGTTAGTTAATTAAAAGATCTGAAAGGTTTTCATAACAAATATTATTTGAACTTCCTGGTAGGTACGTTATCAACTGATGTTCATATAGGGGACATTGAGACTATTTTTCAGAATACATTCATTTAGAATTTTCAGGGAATGCTGGCTTTCTTGTTTTCCTTTCAATAATAACACCAGCAGATTTTCTAAGGCGCCTACACTATTTCTCTTTCCACTCAGATTGGTCCACTCATATATCGCCGTTGGTTGTATTGGAAATATTGAAATTCTGGATCTCCATTTAATATTCCTCTGATTGTTTCCTGTTTATAGAAATTGTTTTAAATTAGTGATGCAGGATTATATTATCCAAAAAAAATCTACCTGATGAAAAAGTATGACATACTGTGGAAAATCTAGAAAGGGTTTTAATTCGTTTAACTTGATCAAAGAAAACTTCCAAGGCCTTGAAAATTTCCAGTGGAGAACATATCAAGTGCTGGGAAAATATTTCACTTAATCCATTCATCGTTTCTTTGTCCTTTGAAATGAACTGTTCCTCATCTGCTTCTGATAATGGTGGTTCTTTTGCTTGACAATTGCAGGATTCATAATTCAACTTATTATCAATGATAATAAAAGAATATACTTACCTCTACATCTGATTTCTTGATTTTAATCAACAGTAAAAACACAAGAGATTTTTTTATCGGATACATTTCTGAGCAATTTGGTATACTAGCTGCCCACCAATTTTCAAAACCCTCTCTCGAATAATTCGAAAGTTACAGTCCTGGCCGTTTTGTGTGCACTTCTCTGTATGTAACATTTTTTCATGTTCATAATTTATCTGAGAATAATCCTTTTCAAAACAACAATAATGATTATCATATCATAATAATGATTATCATATCATAATAATGATTATCATATCATGATAATGATTATCATCAATAAAGGTAATCATTATTGTTGTTTATTTGTATATTGTCGTTGATTTATCATATATAATGCCACAAGTGATAATATTTTGCCGGAAATATTTGGTGATTGTTACGACAGCTTGTTGCCTAGTAATTTCGTGAATGACATTGTTATCAAAACTACGAGCCGTAGGCGAGTAGTTTTGGATCAATGTCATGAGCGAAATTAGAGCAGCAAGCTGGAGTATGTCAATCGACGAATATTTCCAGGAAAAATAGTATCACGAGTTGTATTCGTAGGATTATTTCATGATTGAATGGGATAATATATATAAGAAATAGGAAACATAATTTAAGTATATTCCAATCAAACTGCGAAGAAGAACATAATGATAGTAATGAAATACAGAATTCTTTTTTTAGAAATTAACTATGTACCTACTTATTCACAAAGTGGAATGTACAATTTTGATAAACAGTATTTTTGAATTTATCTTGGAGATGGTTGCTCTCAAAAGAGTGTATACAATTGCTATCCAATTCAAACAAAATGAATTGAATTTATGTGACATGAAATAATTAAAAAAAAAGATATCGTCGCCGAGGGGCTCGAACCATCGACCTTCGTATCTTCGCGCAACAACCCTATCAGTTGAGCTACATCAGCTGGTAATTATATCAGTAATATAACAATAACAATAACTTGAGTAATTGAAGAAGATTACTTTAATAAGTCAGACCGTCAAGAAATATGCAAACTTTTTAAATTACACATGAAACGTCCAGCCAGAATAAAATTGTCTCGCCTTTCGTACAAAATGTCTAACGCGAATTATAAGTAAATAAAATAAAGTAGGAACTTAATTTATTGTCTCAGATTTGATTTTATCGCTGATAAACGAGGTTTGTTGGTCACGTGTGGGTCAATTCGGCTTCTGTATTGGTAGAGCAAGTTCGATAAAATTCAATAAACAAAAAATATCGCTACAATACACAAGAAACCGTGAAAATGGTCGATTCTGATTGGTTTTCGAGATCAAGAGTGGAATAGTCTTGAAAAAAAAACACTCGAACTTTTTTTTTATCGAATAATTTTTTTTACTGATCGGCAAATGTTTTTCGTTACCAAGAGAAATTTATCCGATTAAAAAAAAGCTCTCGTGTTTTTACTGTTGATAAAAAAGGATGCCTTTATATCGATGTCAACATGACAACATCATCGTCAAATGGCGCTTTCTGTGGAGGAGTTGATTCATTTTAGTAAAATCGATATTATTGTTATGGAAAATATCCATGGTTTGCATTATACTTTTATTCGCACCATAAACAACAAAAATCGAAAATTTGAACTTTCTTTTTGGATCATTTTGATTGGTCTATAGGAATCGCCTATACTTATGTTTGGGCAAAATGGATTCATGCCACCTGTCTACCGTCCGCAACCGTTTGTCGGTGCAATGATTTATGGGAAAGCAAAAAACGCAATGTTGGCCTATAATCACAAACTGATTCCAGTAAGTGAACTATATTCTAGCCAAATAGCCATTGACCAAAGCCCTTCATCATGTGAAATTTTAAATTCCATAATAAAACATTTTCAAAGTACCCAATGATAATTAAATAAGTAATTTCGCTATATCTGATGAGAAATCCAGTAAGGCAACTCGAATTTTGCATTTATAGTTAACTTCATGTTTTTATACCTCATATTGTGCGCTTATAACCGCAAGTTATAGTGCAATATTAGTACAGTATCGGCTGCGTATAGTGAGTAAATAGAAATAAAATTATAGTAGTTAGGATTGTATTCTCGAATGTTCTCATAGTTGATACAAAGATGGTGGACTGAAATATCAACCAGCATAGTCACAATTCCTATCTCCCTATCACTTAGGTGCACAATCGCTCGACTGGATTTGTATTATATCTTCTCCGAAGATGGTTTTCCTTAGCAAAATAAAAGTTAGACATGTACAAATTTCTTAGCGATATTCAACATGGAGTGCACCCAATGTATGTTTGAATGAATGCAAAGGAACTACTCTCATTGAGTACTTATCTTAGTATGCTCTGCAAGCTCAACTTTTGCACAGTTCGATTGGTCTAAATTTGTGACCGTCTTACTCTCTAGCCGTAACCACTAATCGCGGTCGTTTGCGAATATAGGTTGTGCTTCCTGCCTTGAATTTTTTTACATACCATATCGATCAATCAGCCAAACAAATCGCCAAACTTGAGTTCGATAATTTGGTACCCAAATGGGGTTTCCACCTGGAAAGTTTTCTGGGAATTTTGAGAATCAGCATTTTCATAAGTTTTTACGTGCCCTTTGGAGTGTACACCTTGCCACATTGTAAAATGGTGCCAAAATATATCTTAGAACTCCTTTTATGATGAAAATAGTTATATGAAATCGCGTTATAGCACTGTGTGAACATGCCCGAATGACGTCAGCAGAATGGTGAAGGAGTAGAAATCGATTTCTTTAATTTGTTCTGACATAAAATCTGAGTCTTCTCATAGAAATAAAAAATCTCGATATAGGAAACTTCCCCATTGAATAGTACAGGTGAAAACTATTTCGCATCCCCGCTATAAGACTGTCACAACTCCATATTCCGTACATTTCAGGAGACTTAAAACAAAGCTGAATGATCTATATGGTTTTACATTTCTTGTTATATCTCGGAAACGGGTGGATATTTGGGTAAACTTGTATCAACATAGTTAATTTGCAATTCAATGACAAAAGTATCGAAATAGGAAAATTTCCACAACATTCTTAAACACACATGTTTCGCTAACACAGTAGCTTCGTTAGGTGATATACTGGTACAATGAACTAAACCAACCTTGGCTTGCTTTCGAATACAACGGTTACAGCATTTTATGAGAGCTATCACCTAAAATTATTTTCATATCTATAGGATGTTCGAATTCCAAGATATCGGCTGATGATGGGGTTTTTCAATGGGACACCCTGTATATTATTGCATTTTTTAATTTTTCCTGAAGAGCTAATTTCATCAATGTATCACACTTGGAATCTAGCGGAACTGATTACAGAGATATTGGGTGTTCAGAATCGAAAATGTTCAAATTTGGGATTTTTTGTGTCAGAACTATTCATTATTGGTCGAAACGGCTTACATGTCCCTATCTTAACGTTTGATTCACTATCTACTGAAATTTAATTGGAATAGATACAGGGTGATCAGAAATCTTGAATTTTGGGTTGGCATTCTTTGACACGGATAGTTCTATCATGGCGTTTTTGTAGGACATTCCTAAATTTCTTAAACGCTCAATTTGATTTTGTTTCTTTCCATTTTTGAGACTCAGCTGATCGCTTTCCAGTTTTTTGGGTAGTTCGGGATTTTCGTGTTAATCGGTTGTAAAAAAGTGGGTTTTCGCCAATACTCTGTGTGCTGAAACTTTTAATTTTCCCAAAAATGAATATAAAATTATAAATTACAGAAAATTTCCTCTAGTTCAATTTGTCACATAACTTTTCTTATCGTGAAATTAGTCGGAAAGGAGATGTTGTAAGTAATGCGTAATTAGGCGTTATTTTTTCCAAAATTTTGACGCGCGCGGCAATGATACAAGGTGGCAAAGTAAAAATTCGAAAACGGCACATTGTAATTGATGAAAATACCAATTCTCAAAATTTCCGGAAAACTTTCCAAGTAAAACTTCCATATGACCGGACTTGCTTGGTGTCATGAAGAAACACATCAGGGGTTATATTGTCTGTGGCAGATTTTTGTTGAACCTATTGATAATTACGCTCATATAGTTATTAATGCAGTAGCAATGTAAAGTTTATACAAAAAATAATACTTGAATTTTTACCCTATCTATACATGTCTAGTTTTAAGATATTTTCCTATTTTGTTTTTAATGATCCCATAATTTTTCTTTATTACTTTGTATACAATTTTATTGAAAATCGAAAGGTTTAACTATTTGAAATATCAGAAAGAGTTTATTGTGTGGCATTCTATTGTTTTTTTGTTATAATTTCACTTGCATTAACTTAACGATTCTTCAACGAATGAAACATGAAAAATTTTTCAAGAACAAAAAGTAATCTGTCCACAAGTTGAATTAAAATAGTATGTACGAAAAAAATGTCTCGTTGCTTTCTTTGTTGTATGTTTTATATTTTTTTCAAGATGCCATCATAGATTGTCTATATTAATTAATGATTAGTATAATATTGTTTATCATAGTTGATGTATGCATATTTTATTATTAGACGTATTTCTGTATATAATATTTGGCTTGGAAAACTACCAAATTTTCTTTCTATTTTCTTTGATATTTTGGCAATTGCTGGCTTCCGTCAGATTTTTATGTAAATACTAACTGAACTGTAGTGCAACATATTGAGTAAATATATGTTATATACTTAGGATTGTGTTCTTTAATGACATACCAGCATCAGCTCAAATATACCTAACAATCTAGTAAATATTTGTTCAATCGAAACAACACCCTGTGCTGTTATTTTCAAAATTCGCTTTCAATGTAGGAACCTACTACTCATATTCATTTCTACATTTTACTGCTCAAATTTTGAACTTGAATGGATTTTAATGATTGAATGGAAATATTTTAATATTAACGCTTTTTCATTCAGTAATAAGTAGGTATTGCAGCACTTCAATGTACATTCACGGGTTTGTATTCCCATTTTTGATATACTTTCAAACGAACATTTTTCAATAAAACCATTATATTGAGTATTGAAAAAAAAAATGCACAAACGGACATTATTTCGCGATAGAAAATAACATGTTGCCCACCTGACGGCAACAACTCGAACACTTCTGAGCGGTTTGTTTGGAAACAAAGCAAACAGGCCGCTTTGAGAGCTCTCAAGAATTCCGATAGGTGGCGTACGCTTATTTTCTATCCAAGGTCTAACCAACCTTGTTTCTATCGCGCGAATATTGTAAAATCTTGATACTTTTTCATTGTCGCGTAAAACACAGGGTTTATCGTGGGTTTATTACATAACCCATATTAGTTAGAAGGTTTCGATTTTTCCATAAATTCTGAAAATTTGGAACATGAGTCTACACAAACAATTGATGTGAAATATCGCCAAGTAACACTTTTTCTGGTCAAACCGGAAGTATATAGACACAAAAACCCGTTATTTTGATTTTATAATCTCTTGGAGTGCACGAAAGAAAAATCGTATAATATTCGTGGAACATCGTGCGTCCTGGGGAGGATAAGGAGAGGAGGTAAGGGTTGGAATTTTTTCAACTTTTGGAGGTTATAAGTTCTTGGGAATACTTCCATTGGCAAAGAATTCCAAAGCTTCGCCGTTCTACAGACGAACGAGTTTTGGTAGTTTTTTTTTACAATTGCATACCTCGTTGGTCCCAGCACTGGAACCAAACGCCGCATAAGTCGAAACTTGTACGGGGTTAGGTATACATACAAACACATACATCCATGGCCTAACTAGGATTCGAAAGTATGTCTCGGTGGGAGTCCCCATACGAACTCAGCACCTTCACGCTCTCGACCACCGAGCCGAGTTCGACATTTTTCAAGGTTAACGACGAAGTTATGTGCTGACTGCTGACTGGGCCTGTCGAGTTCGTCTGGCTGGTATTGCTAGTGATGGGATTATAGCAGAGATTTCTGAGCAATATGGTATTTTATATTACATTTTTGAAATCTACGTAATATTTTGAATGACATCGTAACTTATGTCGCATTTTGTGTTAAACTTGGAGTTTGCACTTGTAACTAATAACTCAGATTAGTCAAATGTAATTCAGAAACCAAGGCCGATCCTATAATTCCTATAGCGGGTGTGCAGTGCGTGTAGTGTACACTGCACGCGTGCGGCCAAAACAATAAACCCGGGCGCACATTGAGACGCAGGCAGCACAGGTGACACAGGCAGCACAGGATAACTGCATACAGATTTTCTCTAGACACATGGCTGAGCGCACATTGAAATGCAGGTTTTCGCAAACTGCTTCTTATATTGAAGGTGTAGGATAGTATTGAATGAACAGATCATGAAATCCTACCACCTAATGGATTATCGGACCATGCAGTTATCTACGCAACTATTTAGCCCAATTCACATGCCAAACAAGCACGAAACCGAAGATTTCAAAATAATCAACTTTGATCAGTTATTCGAGGATCTTTCCACCATCTATTGGAACTGAATTGGAACGCATGTGATGACGTTGATATTCTCTGGGAAAAATTTTACTCGACCGTAACTGCCTCTGTTGAAAAGGACTTCCTAAGCAAAATATGCCGGAAAAATCCTCTCGAACCATGAATAAATACCGAAATAATGTCACTCATACATCAGAAAAAAATACTCTGGAAGAGATACAAAAGATCAGAAGCCCCAGAAGATTACCAAACACATCGAAATTTCGTCGTGAGTTTGAAGAATCTATTGCCAACTCTGAAAACTATAAAAATCTGTACAAGTTCATACGATCTAACCTGAACACCAAAGTATAAGCATTCCGCTCATACGTAAAGCTGATGGTTCCTTGCTCTACAGACATCGAACCAGCAGAAATTTTGGCCGACTCATTCACAAGCTCCTTCACAATTGAGCCTCGAGATGACCAATTACCAGGAATTATAGCAGAACGATGCGTTTTAGGCTTACATTTAGTTCTAAGAGTTCATTAAACGTTACCAAAAAACGTTAATAATATAAGCGTGAGCACTTATACCAAAATGTAAAAGATAGTTTGATAACAACATTAATCACACGTTACTGAGTAATGGTTGAGGAACGTTATTGAAAAGCGTATTCATCACGTTGTTTCTGTTACTGACTGTTGAATGATGGTGAAAGATTCACGTTGGGAAAACGTCAGACTTAAGAGTTCATCAAACGTTATCAAAAAACGTTACATAACCGTGAGCACTTCTACGAAAATGTAAAAAATAGTTCGATAACAACATTTATTACACGATGGCAAATAACGGTGGAGAAACGTTGTTGAAAAACATTTTTAACACGTTGATTTCTTGACCAGCAGTTGATTTTTGTCTGGAAAATGTAGTTAAATAACGTTTTATTCACGTTTTTTTTCCACTATCAGATAGAAAATGATAAAGGATTCGCTTTGAAGAAACGTTTATCTCAAGAGTTTGTCTAACGTTTTGGGAAAACGTTTTATGAATGTACGAATTTCGTGGATCGTTAGGACATATCGTTTTCAATACGTGTATTAAACGTTTAGTTTTAACGTTATTCTCTTCAACCATATATCAACGTTGAATTCCTCAACCATAAACGTCTACAAAACGTAGGTACGTGTGCCCATTGGGATAGGACTCTGTCCTCAACCTTTACTTATATGTAATAATAATAATAATTTCAAATTATGGACTTGATAATCAGAATCGGATTCTGATTCATAGATGCTAGCTAATATGGCATTAACTGTGGCATTAATAAACGATTGTTTGACTAGAAAGAAGTCGTTTTGGAAAGGCGAGTACATGAAGAAAAGAAATTTCCATTGAGAGTTCCAGTTAACAACCAAATTTTCAGATATCCGATTTACAAACTATTTTCGGTTGAACATCTTTATATTTGGTTTTCATATAATCCGCATGACTTATATGATATAATATATAGTCTTCCTCCTGACCAATTCGTTCAATTCCTGATACATATATTATGGTATGAACTCTCACACAGCCACACACGTTTGCCAAGGCTAAGGCGACCGCCTAACAAATGTTCAAAATGACCTTCCTTCATTCACTACTATATAGATAGTGTGGGAAATCATATTTCCACTGTATATTTCTGTGTCATATGTATATAATATTTAGATTTCACTTTGTAAATAACTATTGATATCAATTGTAAATATTATCCATTATTATCATGTAAATGGTACACCCTGTATATATCTTCATCGAATTTTGAGTCGAGGCGATCTCTAAGCTTACAAATTACAAAACAGATGTGGACTTTCCCAAAACTCAAATATTGTTTGTCGAAACAGTTTTATGATCGTGTTCTCAGGCTTAGCGTACCCCAATAAAATTCCATCTGGAGGTACCAAACAAATGATTCGGATTTTCTTAATTATTTCATTTCAATTTGAGTTACACTACCAGGTTTTCTCTTTTTCTGAGAAACGTGCTAGGGTTTTCGAACCGATCTCACGTTCTCAAAACAACCCTCAAGAACGACAGTCTTTTCTCGACACTCGAAGTGGTTACTCGGTTCGCGACAGCTTAACTGACCAGAGACGCCTCGACTACGAATTCACTATTTTTCATTTTGTAAATATACATCATATCAACCGCTACCATACAGCTTTCGGCACTGCCAAAAAGATCCTCGCAAATATTCAAAAAGGTGTTCAGTTCTTCCCCACTGAAACGCCAAAGTGGTGACCCCGACGTGATTGTGTATTTTTTTGCGAGTGACATTTTTTGTGAAGTGACGCGTAGCCAACATGGTGAACAACGAAGCCAATGCACCAGCCGTCAACCCTGTTACATTCACGGTCGCAACGTCGCTACCTGAATTCAACCCGGCTGATCCTGAGATTTGGTTTACTCTAGTGGAATTACAATTCACTTCAGAGTCGATTAACGACCACGCCAAACGATACCTGAGTGTCCTTAAGGCGTTACCTCGTCGGTACAGCAGCGAAGTGAGAGACATTATTGTGCAACCTATCGACGATCGCTCTTACGAGCGGCTGAAAGAAGGCTTGATTAAGCGACTCAGTACGTCACAGGAAGAAAAGACGAAGCAACTCCTTCAGCAGGAACAGATGGGCGACGATAAACCATCTCTGTTTCTTCGACGTCTTCAGAATCTGGCAGGTACAGCTATACCAGAATCGCTAGTTCGTACCATTTGGCAAAGTCGCCTGCCGACCGAGATTCAAACAACCGTAGCAATCTCGACAAGTAATACCTTATGCGAAGCAGCTGAAACCGCTGATCGCGTGCACGATATTTTATCGTCACGCTCAACCATTTCTGCTACATCAGCTCCTGATATCAACTATGCCAGCGATATACGAAAGCTTGCTATTGATCTAGAGCGAGTGATCGTACGCCTAGATGCAATTGAGGTACGGTTGAACAGTTTGGAGCGAAACAGATCGCGATCCGGTTCCCGTCCTCCACGCTCCCGTACACCAGGAAGTTCCCAATCCGGCGTATGTTGGTATCACAAAAAATTTGGCAGTAAAGCAAATAGTTGCACCAAACCATGCAGCTGGCCGTCGGAAAACCAATCGGGCAATCGTCAATAGCGGGTAGCCATTGCCCAATTCAATCCCGCCGTTTATTTGTTCGCGACCGGTCAACGAACTTACAGTTTCTGGTGGATACAGGTGCAGATCTGTGCGTCTACCCTCGTCATCTCCTC